GGCATGACTCATGAAAAGGAGTATTATGCCTTGACCGATGCCTATCGTATTTTGTCAAGCGTGGCCTTTCCCAAGTGAATACGTAGTCAATTCATGGAGCAAAGTGATCCATCCCGTCTTGTGAAAGAAAGTCTGCAAAGTGAAGTTGCAGCAAACTTCGAATCAATTGCATTGGTTGTCTGTTTCCAATTGACGACAGAAAATAAAGACTTGGAAGAGACTGTCAAGGCTGAAGTCAAGGAAAGCCAGCAGAAGACATTACATATATTGAGATGTTTTTGATCAGTTGTGTTTTCAAAGGTATATAGGAAAACACATTACTAAGAATGCAGTCTACGAGCCTTGGACTAGACCATACATATAAACATTGGATCAAACGCTATGCTGGATCCCACATCAAGTCATTGAGCGGAATAGAGAGTTCCTTTGCCAACGCCAACGCCACATCATACGAAATTCCACATTTGAACGATGGTGGGCCGTCGATCCTATCACCTGGTGTTGTTCGATGAATGAGGCGCATAGATGTAAGTTCCATCACCTAGAATGATGTGTCAGGAACAACGAAAGAAAGTTGTTGATTTATTACATACTGCCGAGTAGACCGCAACCCTGCTGGTCTCCATGTCTGTATATTCACCAGGAATCTTAAACTCGGGAGCTAGCAGCCGGGTTTCGACGTCGTTCTCCTCCAACAGCGCGCCGAGGATCGCTAAGAGCCTGTCTAGTGGGAAGGCTACGGGTCCAAGGAGCCTCTGTGGGACCTGAAATTTACGAAGTTAAGAAAGGAGTCTAGTATAGGCGAAACACAAAACCTCACCTTTGTTGGACCACTCTTCGTCGTCTTTCTCACTCGTCGTCTTCTTTTCTTCTCATCCAGACCTCGCCCAAACATACGTATATCTGATTTTCCCGGGTTCGTCGACGCCAAAAATGTAGCTACCAGGATGAACCTGGACATACGCGGCAGAGCCAAAGCAGCGGCTTCACTGCTTTTTCCAGGTTGGTCCTTGCCTCTCGGAATCTCTGCTGGCTGAGCTGAAAGTAAATCAGGCTCAGGCTTGTTTTTGGCGGCCCAATCAGTTGCATTGGTGAGGCGGGGGTAGAGTTCCTCGAGAGCGGCGCTCAGTGATGCATTGAAAAGCCGACTGAGTCGCATGCGAACGACTTCTGCCGGAGGTTCAAGTTGCGCTTGCTCTGGATCATCGAGGTCCATTTCGTCAGCTAGGAAACGTCGATGTTCGTCGAGAACCGGTTGCACGAAGCCGGGCCATCGAGCAGCTGCGATGTATTCAATTTCTAAAGGATCGTGTACGAAAGGGTAGCAGACGTCACATAGGACGGTTGCAAAATGTGAATAGAGTCCTTTCAGGGATGCATGGTAAGGGCCTGCTGAAAGGTCGTTGGAAGGGGTGAAGTTGAATATGAGGCGTTGTACGATGACTTCAGTTCAATATAAGTCAACTCTCTGTACATGGTTCAATTTGCACATACCTTCTTTGCTCAGTGGAGGTAGATCGATGAAATATGGGTCAGGAGAGGCGCCAAGCGGAGGCCGTATGGCTTCCCACCTAACTTCTGAGAGTAAGATAACAGACAAGTCAAGTTGTGTCTGTGACTCTAGTAAGTGCAGTCCCTTGTGTAAGAAACTTTCGACGTACAAGCTCAGTCAACCGCGTCAGTGGCACAAGAAGTTCAGGCAGGGTTTCTTTCAACCTCTCTGCGCATTCTATTACAATGACAAGCCGCACTTCATCTGCCTCTGACTTCATCCTCTCCTTCCCTTTTCCTTTCACCTTGGACTTGTCGCGCAAATGTGAGCTAACCGCACGGAGCCCGTGAATAAAACCATCAAAGTTTTCGTTAAACCTCTGCGTGTCGCCCTCCAGACTCCAGTTGGGACATCCATCATTCCAGTCCGGGCTCCATTTGGCCAATACATTCAGTATGGAGTCATATAGCAGTCGAGCTGTCAAACACGCGATTGCGTTCACTTTCGCGAAGTGAATGCGTTTCGATGGACCTGGATCAGTGCTGACTATCCTGTCGAGAAGGGTTGCGATAGTGGAACCCGTAATTCTTGGGCAAGCGGTGTCGTAAATGTAGATAAACGGAGGCGGAAAGTTGGCGATGAGAGTCGAGAGTTCGTCGCACAGCTCTTCGTAACCAAACTTCCAAGATTCCATGTGTGGAGTGCGAGAGCAATGCCCGAGTCGGAGACAAGCGGGCCGGTATAGTGATGTGATCCCTCAAAACGTTGGATTCACACCTTTACAGAACCAGAATCAAGTTTCTGCCCGTGTTCAGGACTATGCATTCTATCTTTACATTTACAAGTACTAAGCAATCGAATGTCATGTGTCAAGGTCACCCTAGTGTGATTTTTTTCCCACTTGATCACGAGGCATCTATGTGAGAGTGGGAGTGGTCCAGTCAACGTAGTTTGCTGCTACGAAGCCGAGGTTATTCGCGCCATCAGTCCTGATGATGTTCGTATTCGTGCTCTGCCCCTTTAAGAACTTGTTAACAAAGGCATCGAGATCAGCCTGCTCGCTGGAAGGGAATGCACAATGATTATGATTCCCAACTTGAGACACGCCCATGTTATCTGGCACTCCCAATGCCTTCCAGATTTCATGTGCCGTCGTTTGGCATCCCCAGACACTGCGTGGGCCTAGCCAGTCGATACTTGTATTGTCAATAATCAGCAAGGCTCGGGGTGCAACGAGAGCAGAAAGCATATGGTGATCGAAAGGAAGGTTTCGCACTTGGCTCGTGTACTGGTCGAACAGAGGTGAGAACCAGACGTTCTCTTGGACTATTTCAGACGCAGTCTGTGTGTTTATACCACTCGCGAGCATATCGTCAGAAATACGCCAGCATCCAGCGCCACCCGAGCCTGACTCTTGGGGTATTGTGAGTGCGATGCGAGTTTCAAAGGCACCCGCAACAAGTGCGCCCTTTCCGTTACGCGAGCATCCTGTGACTGCGATGCGCTCGAGGTCAATGTTGGTATTAGGTGTCATCTCAAGGGCATCAATAATGCGGGAGACTCCCCAAGCCCACGCGGTCATGGCACCCGCAGAGTGTCCAGAGCCATAGAGAGTATAGAATTTGCCTTGGCCGCGACTACCGCCGTTCACTTGAGCCGCCATGTCATCGTTGTTGAAGGTAATCACGGCGACACCCGACGGCTGAGGAATACTCATGCCACCATAGGCAATAATGGCGGGATAAGGTGCGGTGGCACCAGAAGGGGCTGAAATAGTAACAGAGAATGAGATCGACTTTCCACTGTCGGAGACATTGATTGTTAGAGTGTTGCCAGAGAGGGATGCGGTGACGGTCTGGGGCTTGGGTGGTAACGTTCCCAGCTCGTAGCGCTGGAGAAGCTGAGAGATTTCGTCGCGACGGCAATCCCAGTCTGCTTTTGTAACCGTACGAGATCCGCCTACAAATTTAAACGGATCAGGTAACTTGGCATTCGACGTCAGAGGGATGCTGCTTGGCAGGGCTGTGCAAGTCGCGCTTCCAGAACCAGTCGTAGTAGCGCCGGGAACAGACGTAGTGGGTGTCGTCGTGGGTGTTGTGGTAGGAGTGATCGAGGTAGTGGGCGTTGTTGTGATTGCAGTTCCAGGCAGACATTGTGAGTACCAATTATTCACAGGAGTACAGACAGAACCGGCGGCACACGTCGTTCCACCAGTCCAATCAAGGCCTCCACCTATACAGAAAGAATGGTTAATAAGGAACTGAAACATAATGACACAGGCGATTGCTTACATTGTGCGTACACAGGTTGCTGTGCGAGTGCCGGAAAGGCAATCGCAATAGCGACGAGCGAATACTGAAGAATCATGGCTATTACAACTTTCCAATAGTCTGAGTGGCGTCGAAGCGCTCTATAACATAAAGCCTTTTATACTCCGCAAGCATTAGCCAAGCTAAGGTGAAATTTGACCTTAGTCTCGGAAGATATGATACGATACGAGCGTCACATGTATGATACAAGCCATCTTCGGCCAGAACAGAAAATTGAAAAGTTAACCCGACGTCAAGCCAGACTTCTTGTTGGAACTTGCTAGAGGTGCATTTCACTTCACATTATATTATTGTCTCTTCTGAGCGAAGCTTCTGGAACGAAATTGAACAATCAGAGCTAGAATAAGTAAGACGGATAATTGTTGGAGCCGCAAGGCCAGGCTGTAGAAGAGAAAGAGCAGAAGCTGACACCGAGATTGAGGCGAGCGCCTCCGTAATTCACAGTCAGATTTTTCAGGCCGTGACTTGATCGAAGCCGCTGCATCTGAAGTACTGAGTGCAAGGACTCACTGCAAGGGTCTTGAAGAGTCGACGCAAGTAACAAGTTCCGTCCACAAAGAATGAAAGGGCCAAACATCACTTGCTGCAAGTTCACAGACGGATGCTACTAGTAACCTGAAGAGCCACCGAAGTGGTTCCGGAACACTGTCCACCTGATGCTTTTCTGTTACTGTGAGAGGGCTTGGCATGGACTTTTCGAAATTCGACGTCTTAGTGTCGATGTCTAATCAACAAGTTCTTGTATGTTCATCATCAACGAAACGACAAGGACGGGTCAATCAAGATCGCGCGGGACCGCAACTCACCCTGTTCAGAATCCAATCGTAACGCTGTAAGCAACTTCACAGGTAGTGCTGATCAAGACGGCTCACATGATTAGACAGGAGGTTATGGGGGCACGTGCCCTCATGTGGATGGGCCAACTGGGACCATACACTGCCTACATTGAAATCGGTCTACATTGTCGTCTCGTCAGGCCAACCTTGTAATTTCGTCGTGGTGCGGACTAAACTCCGAGAGGAACACTGAAGATAAAGCACCAAAAGGATCAGGGAGAAGTCAGTTATGACTCCGTCGTAGTGCGAATTGAACGCCTTTGAGAACGAGACGAAGGATGAAGACAACAAGAGGATCGTGTAAGACCATTAAATAAAATGAACCACCCCTGTGATTCATGATGAGTCGACCCAGGCTCGAACTGAGGACCTCCTGTGCACATTTCCAATGTGAGACAGATGCGATAACCAACTACGCCATCGACCCGTTGATGTAGAAGGCCAAATGTCTATATAGATGCGGGCGGCCTGAATCAAAGGAGGGAAATTGCCCAAATCATCGCAGTGAAATATCAGACACACGATACCATTAAGCCAGCGATCCAAAGACAGTACACTCACTACTAGACGAGTATGATGGTCCGTCCGTGTGGTGGTATGACGGTCCATCGTTGAGCCGAAACAATCTACTGTTAGCGAGTACCATCATCGTCCCTCGAAGTTCAAATGCATCGGAGATTTTTGGCCTGGCTATGTGTACACGACATCTCTTGAGAGGATCTAAAGTGTAATGTTAAGAACAAAGATCCACACTGACAGAAAAAATAGGAAGCATACGGGGTACCATGCATAAATATCGCGAGCCTTGGTCGTTCTACTTATGTATGAGTAATATTCGGCTCAAACAGCTCGGGGGCCTTATACAGCTTTGCATATTCTTAATCACTATTGGACGAGAGATCTACGACATGGCTGGGCATTCGATCCACCGTGCTACGTCCCAAGACTTCGTGAGAGACATCAGGCATCGGGAGGAGGGACTGTAGAGATCGAGGGAGAGCAGTACTAGATTTTGTGGCAGGATTGTGGCTGGGGGGTGGATACGTTGGGAAGGATGGGCATATATGTGACAACTTCGGGAACGAGAGAAGAAGTGAATGAAGAACACACAGGAAAGTCGACCTCAGCCTTCGGACGATAAAATGTAATGATTCCAATGATTCGAGTTGCCACGCAAGGTATTTTCAGTAGATTCAGTAAAACGAAAATTTTGAGGATGGATATTCCGGTCGAGTTGAAGGATTCCAACGATTTGTCGGGAAGACACTGCTCGGTGACAGAGGTGATGGATGACAGTTGATGAAGAAGGCTGGATTTGATCTTGTTTCTGGGGTTACCTAAACGCCTGTCCATGATGCGTCAAGGGCTGGACAGCCGGCAGGTCCCTGAAGTGACCCAGGTATAATCCGCCATTGAGGAAAAACGGTCGATGATTACACTTTGGTCTGCTATGATTCGCTCGGGCCTATCTGGATCTGCCGTCAAATGCCCCGAAGGGTGCTCGGGCTGCCTGAGCACTCATGGATCTACATCCAAACCACTGGGGTTTCTGCGAAAAGGATGGTAACCATCCGGATCCAAATCGAACACTCAACACTTTGCAAAAGATATATCCGAATTCCGATTCCGACTTTTGGCGCCTTCGTATGATTCGTCTTCGACGTCTCTTCAGTACAACTTCTTCTCTCTACCATGAAAATCCTCTTGTACGCCCTCTTACAATGTGTACACAGCTATTCTGATGATTTTGTAGGGACTACCACAGCGTGGACTACCTCCGCAAATGCCTCGACGAGGTGGGCCAATCATAAAGCGGAATATACCGAATGTGCACAAGGTGATCGCTGTAGCGAGTGGCAAAGGAGGTGTTGGGAAGAGCACAATTGCGGGTGCGCACACCTAGATGCGACTTCGGTTCTCAAAAGATGCTTACAACGGTTGCATAGTGAATCTCGCGTTCAGTTTGTCGGGATTAAAAGACCCGATGACCTCTGCACGGTTACGCGTCGGTATACTTGATCTTGACGTATTTGGACCATCTGTACCCACGTTAATGGGTCTACAAAATAGTGGAGAACCCGAGCTTACTTCAGGTCCGTCTTCGAGCTTCTGCGTCAAGTCCCAACAGTTTCTGACATATACTTAGCTGGCGCTCTTCGTCCCCTCATAAATCACGGACTTGCAACGATGTCCATGGGGTATCTTCTCCCTCGTTCTGCAGAAACGAACTCGACAGACGACACAGCCGTTGTCTGGCGCGGCCTCATGGTCCAAAAAGCCGTGCAGCAGCTTCTGTTTGACGTCGACTGGTCCCATAATGGCGGCCCGTTGGATATCCTTGTGGTAGACATGCCTCCAGGGACAGGTGACGTTCCTCTAACGTTGGGTCAACTGGTCAAAGTTGATGGTACGTCTATCTCTGCACGGGCTCGTTTTGCGTGACGAGTAAAGTCGGAAATCAGGTGCCGTCATTGTATCAACACCTCAAAATGTCGCCCTCGCGGATGTGAAGAAAGGGATATCAATGTTTCGCAAGGTCTCTGTCCCCGTAAGTACATGCACGACCTGATTTCCAAACACGATCTCAACACGAGTCTGTTAGATAACAGGACTCGTACTCAACAACTCATACTACCTCTGCCCTACTTGCTCCTCCTCAACAACAACCCTTCCTTCACACACGCAGTATATTTTTGGGCCGCCTGATCACTTTCGAGAAACCGCTAGCCGGCTGAAAATTCCGATCCTCGCCGAACTTCCACTCGTGCCGGGATTGTCAGCTTCTGGCGATAGTGGTGTGCCGTATGGGCTAGTGGAGCGAGAAAAGAGGGAGACTGGGGACTCGGGAGGTGGAAAGGTGTGGATCAAGGAGATGGCGGGCGTGGCGGCGAAGGTGTGGGAGAGTGTCAAGGGCGAGAAGAGTTCGTGATAGGAACGGATGGGTCAAAGTTCTGTGATCCAAGCGCGATTTGGGATGACTACATTTTCTTTCGCGAACCCTTGAACCAGTTTCAGGATGCTATAACCTGTCAGTGGTCAAACACCAACATCGCAGCTGGAATTTTAACCACCATGCTAGATGGGGGGACTCCCGTATTCTTATCATTTGCCAGTGGATGACTGCGATAGATTGGCTTTGTACCCTTCGGACTGCGTCAGAGTCTAGAGACTGTTAAGGTCCCCAAGCTCGAGCACCTCTCTATCTCAGCCACAATCCAATTTACACGAAGATTCCTGAACTGCTTATTTTGTCAATACAACAGGATGGCTCGATAATATCAACATCCTTGGAATTGATCTACAATCCTTGTTACTTTCAAACATCTTCCCAGCGGAGTATCAGCCCATCAACTCGACCACAATCGCAGACTTGTGAGAAGTTGTTCATTCGCGATGACCGATTCCTAGTAAGTATGTAGGTCCAGAACCGAGGGATCCAGCCAGAACTTTGTTTGCATGGCCCAAATCTCGAAATTTCTCCCTGCCCGTGTCCAGATGGCAGACTTTCAAAATTTTGTTCATGTGTGATCTCAATTTTACCCGCCCCTAGTCTCGGAGTTTAAATGTGCATCTCCAAGAACGGCATGGGCTTTACGTGAATCAATGGTATTGTATGTTTTGAAAGTTGTTACGATGTCACTATATTGATATCTGGCTACGTTAACCAATAGCCAAGGTCGCATCATACACCTCAGTACCTAGAAAGACTAAATCACACGTTAATAAGGAGACTGAATAAAAGGGCAAGTGGGGTAGCGTCAAAACCCGTGTGGGGAAAGCTTGCCACCACTGCGTTCGAAGTGCTTGTTCCATAAACACAAGTATAATTTGGATACAATAAAAGGATGCTACTACCACGCCGCGGATTTCCAGACGAATTGTATATCATCTGTTATGAGGGAGCTCAAACAAGCCTCATCAACCGGTTTGTTACGCAAACAACCCTTTGTAAGCCTGACACACTTGAGTTCACTTTCGCTTCCCCTCCACCGAGATAAGATCATCCGTGAGAAAACACCATCAGTGGTGTGGCATTCCTCGAATTCGAGTACAGATAGAAGGGGGAACAATTTAGTTGGGGAATCGCCGCTCCTGTGCCATGTGAGTAAGCCTGCTGTTTTATCGTTGAAATCTCCCGGTTGAGTGAATCTGAGCGAGTGTATGGAATCAAAGCACTCCAGTCGTAAAAATCCGAGAAGGTCACGGTCGTCATCTACCACCCCTTCAATTATCAAGTGGCGAAGGGTACAACCAGAACGTTCAACGAGACGCTGGATGCTATAAATATCATCGGGCGCAGATAACCGGAGAGCATTCAAGCAGGTAAGAGTAACGGTATCAAGGAACTCCACAGGGTTCGATCCTCGAATACTCAGCGAGCGAAGGGTTTTGTCGACGAGAATAGAACGAGTATACATGCGAATGGGGGAACAGACATAATTGCTGAAGATAATTTCTTCGATCTGTGTAAAACAGCTCAGCAATGCCCAGCATTCTCCGGTATGCAGCCGAGTTGCGGTGGAAAACCTTGTAACATTTTGCCATTGAACTGAATAAAACATAGTTGGAATGTCACGGTCCCAGGACAAAGCGGACAGATTTGGTGATAGGGCAAGGAAGGTAATGAGTTGGTGGACATCACTTTGGGCAACGCGAGTATTGTTGGAGTCAATATGGACTTTCTTCAGCAGAAGGGCGTCTCCTGGATGCAAGACTGCAAGCTTGGAACAAATCGATGGTCCCAAGCTGATTTTCACATCGGCCCACAGATGGATATGCGAAAAAAACAAGTCCTGAGCAGCGTCAAGCTCCGTGGAATAGGAACCGTCAAAAGTGATGATCAAAGGTGCCATCCCACGGCCGCGATTGAGGAAGAGTCGATATAGAGCAATCTGGCTATGAACCGATCCCAAGTAAGCATTGAATGACCAAAGCATTGGCATTGATATTGCAACGCGTCTCCACCATTTGCAGACGTGGGTCAACACCATGGGCGGACGATCGACCGCAGGTGCAAAATACCACTGACGGACCAAGGGATCCAGAGTATTGACAAAGATCAAACCCAAGACTTTGTCAGGTAAACAAAAGATGGATGATGTCGGTGGCTCGAGGGATATTGCCTTGATGTCGGGCAAATAATGGTATAACTGTGGAGAGCTGGATTCAGCTTCGGTGGAACTATCTGATTCGTCCGGCTCGTCGTGACCTTGATGTAGTCCGGCCTGTTCCCATTTCTGGATCTGACGGGGGGGAAGTAGTGGCATAGAAGAAGTATATCGTCGGGGGGAAGGGGGTAGTATTGTTGTAAGTGCACCATGCCATACCTTTAAAAGCGAAAGCGCTGGGAAAAGCCACACCGACCGGGAAAACAAATTGTCCCATTGATCACAGCAACCGTAACAATACTCGGCGACGCTTAGAAAC